CGGACGAGGATGAAAAGAAAAATTGTCATAAATGTGATATTACTGGTGGAGCTAATAATACTCTTAATGAAATTAATGATAATGGGTTATCAAATTCTAGTAAACATTCTTTGAGTGCTGTAAATAATAGAGGCGCGAGTGGAAGTATGACTTTTAGCAATAATAGTAATGGTGCTAGTAGTATCGGTAGTACAAATAGTGTATCAAGTTCATTCGAAAGACTTGTAGCTGAGGATGATTCTCGATCTAACGATGAAAGTGCAATATCATCTCCAAAAAGAACTACCAAAAAAACCATTGAAGTGAAAATTAAAATAGAAGGTGATCATAAGAATTTTAATTCTCTTCAAAATCAATTATTAGTGAGCCAGAAATCCCCAACAAACACAACAGAAATATCTTCAACTGCAAATAGTAGAACCCGCTTAACTATTTCGGATTCTACCGGAGTAAATTCAACTGCATCTGGACATACTTCTTCTACCAGAAGCTTGACACCATCGTCAACACCTGGAACTCCAGTATCTACTCAACTGCCGCAAGGTAGTCCGTTAGAAATACAATCTAATCAAAATCCTTACATACAAAGACCAAGAAGTTCTCCATCGTCAGCAAATTATACTTCAAGTACTAATTTGAATAATCATGCTAGCACTGACCACAGAACATCCCAAACTTCATCAAATATTCCTATCACATTACAAATGAATACTCAAACCTTACACAATACGTACCAAACAGTAAAAACCTTTGAGTATCAAAATAGGCAAACTTTAAGTAAACAAAACTTTGCGATTTCTGGTTATCATGATCAATCTCAAAACGTATATAGTAAGAGAGATACGTTTCACCAACGTACGTTGCTTAGAAATGAATTACATCCGCTTTATCCTCGACAAAACCATGCGACTTCATCGTTACCAAATCAAAATAAAAGAACAAATACAACTACAAAACCTATATATAACTCTTCGATGCAATATCATCAGCAACAAACACTTTATTTACATGCAGGCGATTACAATGGATATTTACAAAATGGACCGAACTATCATGCATCATATCATAGAAATATACAAGGTGGAAATATATATGGTGTCAATCAAACGTACTCTAACTCTCACAATGAACATACCTCTGATGGATATGTAAGTAGTAATAATTACAGTTATACTACATCAGAAATATATCATAATACAGAAGAAAATATAAATACACACGATCATTCTGGCATGTCCTTACCAACGGGTCATAATTATTATGATAATGTTTCTGTACAACAACCGCATCAAGAAAATTCTACGGAAATATATGCTGTTCATCAACCATCTATTTTATCGAATCAAAGTGATGATAGATATTCAAGCAAATATTCCAATTCTTACTATGCTCAAAATCCACCATTACAGATACATCAAGGTGGTGAAGCATCAAATATTCCAAGTAATTATGTATCATCTCCAGATCCTTTCCCAACGTCTGGAATGACGAATGCAGCAACAGCTATCGCTGCTGCTACTGCCACCGTCATCACTCCTTCTGAGAATATTGGACAATTAGAGAATAACAGTGAATCATATGCAAACACAGGTAGTTTTTATGTTGACCCAACTCATGCTGCAGCACCTTCATCCTCGGGAGAAATCAGCAACAATTGCTCTGATTTTAATTTTCTCAGCAACTTATCCAATGATTTTGTGCCAGAATATTACCAACTGAGCTGAGTCTTGAATAAATAATTGTATCAGCAGGACTGACTTTTTGATGCGTGATAAGATAGATTTAAGTATATAATTTAATGAACCATGGTAAACTATGTAGATTAATTGAATAAAATAAAAAATTTCCTCATCATTTGATACGCTTTTCCTATTGACTCCATATTTTATGTAGTGATCACACATTATAGAATAGTTGAAAAGCTTGTAAAGAGCTTACAAAGCTTGTTATAGTATTTTCTACGAAATGAAGCATTAAGCTGTGAGGTTAAAGTTAGTTTTGAAACATATCGCTTGGCTTTGTACGTCATCACTACAATCACAATAAATTTATTGATATGCATAAAAATTTATATCGCCTATGCTATGATTGAAGCGTACCGTGAATATGTTAGTAAATAAAGTGATTATAAGAAAACGTTTTCTACGGCGAAACAAGGTGATATTATTACGTTTCAGGCTCGCAATGCTACTAATTATAACCAAAATCTAAAAATTATCCGTTAACGTATATTACTAAATTAACCCTTTAATGTTCTGGAAGCGCAATGAATCTTAGTGTGAGCTGTTAGGGGAGAGAGCCAATCATAGTCCGTTATGCGGTTGTGTGAAAGACAGTTTAGTTGTAGTAGTGTGTCCATGCGTCCCTTTCTACTACTTTTCTAGTCCTCTCTCTAGGAAAAAGACTATAGCTCTCTCACTTGAAGAAACAGACATATGACTCGAATTAAGAGTGGGGATTCAAGGCCGAACATTAAAGGGTTAACGATTATATAAATACCCTTAATTTTTCACAAAAACTATTTGCCAATGTAACTTGCTTTTTGTTGAATCGCTATACAAACTATTTAAAAGAAACCCGAGTCGAAATTCAAGTTCCGTTTTAGCGGTAGAAGTGTTCCAAGTCGAAATTCGAGTTCTGTTAGCGGTAGAAGTGTCCAAGCTCTTTGAAGGCTGATTTGCCGCCTGAAAATGCGTCTGTTTTGATGGTAGAAGACGGCGCAAGTGAAAAATACCGCTAAAACAGACGTATTTGGTTCTGTTTTGACCGTAAAAAATATCCGAAGAAAATTTATTACTATTATTTTTGTTATTATTATTATTTTTATTATTTTTATTTTTATTTTATAAACATTTGTTTATAAGAAAATGCATCACTTAAATCTTTAAATGACTATATCTTATAAACTATTGAAGTTACGGCTTTTGTGATTCAGAACAATTTTATAGAGTAATTATTGGACTACTCAAAAATAATTTTTTTATATTTTTAATTCCATTTGTCCATCAGTTTTTTTTATTTATTCAAATTATTACATGGTTAAGGGTACATTTTCTGGCTTTTATTGTCACATTTATGTTCATACACACAACAGATTATTATATGTAAAATCCTGAAAAATGTATCCCTGACCATGTAATAATTTAAATAAATAAAATAAACTGATAAACAAATCAAATTAAAAATATAAAAAAATTATTTTTGAGTAGTCCAATAATTACGCTATAAAATTGTTGTGAATCATAAAAGCCGTAATTTCAATAGTTAAAAGACATAATCATTTAATGATTTAAGTAATGCATTTTTTTATAAACAAATATGTGTTATGTAAGGAAATTTTTCTTTAAAAATTTATTAATTATAAAAAATCGAGTATAATTTTATTTAAATTTTAACGATTGTAAAAGATAATTCAAGTGCGGTCATTAAGTGTCTCGTTCGATTTTTGCAAAAGGCCCAGGGAAATTTCCGTAATTAGTCTTAGGGCCCAGGTATATTAAAGAGATTAAATAGATAAATGGGAGTTTTGTTATACGTAAGCAAACTCACTTACACTCAAAATAAGAAATACTTAAAGATAAAGAACATTAGATAAAAAGATTTATTTTAAACCAAAAGATTTTAGAATAACTCAAAGTAGTGTGTCAGAGGGGGGGTAATACTCAGTCGGTAAAACAGATTTATGGACTCGTGTCCCTGCTAAGTACCGTCCGTCGATATGGACGACCTGTTTTTATCGACAGTAGGTGTTACCGTGGATATGGATGACATGTTTTACCAACATTTTGAGGTTATGGATGAGGTTTTTTATCAACTTGGTTGTAGGTGGCGCTGGTGGTGAATTCTGCCGCCATTTTTGAATTTTACTATCCGCCATTTTCCTGCCATTTTTAAATCTTACTATCCGCCATTTTCCTGGAATTGTGAATCCGCCATCTGGTGGTCGCTATCTGCCATTTTAAGTCTGCTATCTGAAATCCGCCATTTTGAATTCACCATCTGCTATCTGCAATCCGCCATCTGGTGGCTGCTATCTGAGTCTGACTCCGCCATTTTGAATCTGCTATCCGCCATTTTGAGTCTGACTTCCGCCGTTTTGAGTCTGACTTCAACATTTTGAGGTTAGAAAAAAGCATCCTCAACTATTAACCTGCTTTAGGCTTGCCATTACAGATCAATAGTTCAGGATTACGCATTTGGGGTATGATATATCCACGTTTTATATATTTAAAATGAAGTTATGACAACTACTTGCGAGAAGGATTTTACGCAGCGCCATCTGGTGGCAGCTTGCATTACTTTTAACTGCGTAGTAGATGACGTCATCTGACAGGTTTGAACCTGTTAAAGGTTACGGTAACTGCGTAGTTCTCTTTGTTCTATTCCTAACTGCGCAGTAGATGATGTCATCTGATAGGTCTGAACCTGTTCAAGGTCACGGTAACTGCATAGTTTTCTTTGTTCTTTTTCTAACTGCGTAATAGATGACTTATTCTGTTCTAGAATTTTCTAACTGCGTAGTAGATGACGTCATCAGACAGGTTTAGACTTGTTTTGTGAAAGGGGTGGGGGAAATTTCCACTATCAGATGACTCATACCATTCTAGAATTTTCTAACTGCGCAGTATTTTCTGCCTATATAAGCAGCTCGCCGAGAGCGAACTTCACAAAAACGAAGTACACGTCTCCAGTGAAACATCTCTCGTGATCAATAGTATTCAGTGCTACAAAATATAGTGAAGTTCAGTGTTGTGAAGTACGCGAGTATAAAGTATACGAAAACTATTGTATGCATAAACTGTAGTTCAGTGTGTCAAAAACTTTTTTGCGTGTATAAAGTATAGTCTCATATAAATTCAGTGTGTATATAACCTACAAACAGTGTATATAATCTACAAACAGTGTATATAACCTATAAACAGTGTACATAACCTATAAAACGTGTACATAACCTACAATATTGTGTAAATAGACAGTCGTGAAGTACGTATCTTTCCAAAATGGCGCAACATAACCTCATAGAGGCTCTAAAAGACTTGGTGGATACTATTGCAACCTCATATGCTGATCTGTTGGGAGAGCAGCTTACTGATAAACATCGTCAAAGGTGTTCACGAGTGTGCAACGATACCATTGAGTACTTCAAAACAATATTACTGGATCCTGGGACAACAATTCAAGTGAGACGAAGTGTTCAAGCACACATCAACCAACTTAACTGGTTTGCCGATCAGTTCTCCAGACTCGGTAACCAAGTAGTTGGTGGAGACCTCAACCAAGGAGTTAAATAGCAGAACCTGGAGAATGCTTTCGTTGGTAACATCCAGACTGGATGTGTTATCAACCAGCGTCACAAAGATCCAGCATCATTTCTCCAGGCCTCACGGGACATCATCATCATCAAGGTACAGAGTGTCTTGAGAGATCTGGCAGGGCTGAAAGTGAATGTGGAATTCTTCTGTAAATTCCGGAAACCACAAGAAGATGTAGAAGAGCGAAAGTCTTTCATCACCAAAAGCCGTGAGATTCTCCCTGCCACATCTCTTCAGGATTGGTACACTGAGCATGTGTACGAGAAGTTGAAGCAGCGAATTGAAGATTTTGAACATGAGGGTTCCGGATGGAGTCTGCTTGGACCGAACAGCTTGATGGTGACTATGTCAAGATTCGCACCAACCCAAGTTGGGAACTCCACCTTCGTCAGATTGCCCAAGGATATTGTCAAGAAGAAGCGTGCGGTTACGAACATCCAGAACGATGATGAGTTCTGCTTCCTGTGATGTGTCAACGCTGCCTTGCATCCACCAGTATTGGTTCCAGCTGACCCTTCAAGTTATCGTCACTTCAGCGTCAGATTAAATTATGAAGGTATTCAATTTCCAATTAAGCTTAATGACATCCCGAAATTTGAAAAAATGAATGATCTTAGCATTAACGTATATGGTATAGATTCTGAATTCACGGGTAAAAAGTTTGAAAAAAGTACTATTATACCATTATATTTAAGTAACTTCGAGTCAGAAATACCAACGATTCATTTATTAATGATTAAAAAAAGTGTTAATTATACTGATAATTTAGATAATATTGAGTCAGTCTATCACTTTGCATGGGTACATAATCTTTCTGGATTAATTACAAGTCAAATATCTCTAGATAGACATAGATTGTACTTTTGTGATCGTTGTTTGAATCATTTTAAACTTCAAGAATGTTATTTAGAGCACCGAGTAGATTGTTTTAAAACTAACAAAGTCCGCATGAATTTTCCTAGTGAAAAAAATAAAATTTTGAAATTTAAAGATCTTAAGTCCAAAGATACTGTACCGTTTGTAGTTTACGCGGATCTTGAATGCACACTCGAACCCCCGGGGGATGATGAAAAGATAGTTCATAAACATGTTCCACACAGTATTGCTTACTATGTACATTGCAGCTATGATAACACACTGTCTAGATTCCAATTAAACCGTTCTCCTGATTGCATCAACTGGTTTGCTAAACAATTAGAGTCATTAGCTCTGGACTTTGAACAAATTCTAAAGAACCCTATAAAAATGAAACCCTTAACGAAAGAGCAACAAGATAGACACAACCAGGCAACTGTGTGTCATATTTGCGAGAAACCAATAACTTCTACGACAGATAAAGTCTATGATCATTGTCACTTTACCGGTAACTACAGAGATGCTGCTCATAAATCATGCAATGTTAATTATCAGAAATCTACAATTATCCCAGTTGTCTTTCATAATTTATCCGGCTATGACTCACACTTCATAATTAAATCCTTAGCTACAGTATTTGAAGGTGAAATTTCATTACTACCGATCAATAAAGAGCGTTACATTTCTTTCACAAAATCAGTTAAAAATACTTCAGTCTCTTTAAGATTTATTGACTCTTTTAGATTTATGGCCTCCAGTTTAGAAAAATAAGCTTCATACCTTGATGACAAAGACAAACAGATTACGTGACTCCACTACCCTGACCCTGACAAATTCAAATTAGCAATACGTAAGGGTGTATTCCCGTATGAGTACATTGACAGTATTGACAGACTAGACGAGAAACAGTTACCTGACCAGGATTCATTTTATTCAAAATTAACAAACTCAACTATTTCTGAGGATGATTATGCTTTTGCTCAAGTAGTTTGGAATGAATTTAATATTAACACGCTTGGAGAGTACTCGGACTTATACTTAAAGACTGATGTCCTTCTCTTGGCTGATGTCTTTGAAAACTTTAGACGTAGTTGCTTTAAAACATACCATCTAGATGCTCTACATTTTCATACAGCACCAGGTCTTTCGAACTCAGCAATGTTAAAGCATACTGGTGTAGAACTTGAACTATTTACTGATCCTGAGATGCTTCTTTTCATTGAAAAGGGTGTACGTGGTAGGGTATCGATGTGTGCTAATAGACACGCTGAAGCTAACAACCGGTACATGGGTAAAGATTTTGATTCAAACAACCCTGAAACATACCTGATGTATTATGATGTAAATAATTTATATGGTGCTGGGATGAGTATGTCTTTACCTAAGGGTAAATTTGAATGGGTTGAAAATGTAGATGATGTAGATCAGTTTTTCAATGATGATGAAAGTGTAGGCTACATTCTTGAAGTAGATCTACACTATCCTGAGAAACTACATGATCTACATAAAGATCTACCCTTATGCCCTGAACATTTTATACCACCTGGTAGCAAACAACAAAAACTGACAACAACTCTGTATGATAAAAATAATTATGTTATTCATTATAAGAATTTGAAACAATGTTTAGATTTAGGTTTAGTTCTTAAGAAAATACATCGAGTCTTGAAATTTGAGCAATCAGACTGGCTCAAATCATATATTGATAAGAATACTGAATGTCGAAAGCTTGCAAAAAATGAATTTGAAAAAAATTTTTATAAACTAATGAAGAATGTAGTTTTCGGAAAGACGATGGAGAATGTACGAAAATACAAAGAAGTTTGGCTTCGAACAAAGTGGCAAGGTCCATACAATGTATCCGATCTAGTGTGCAGACCAAACTTTTATAATCTCACTATTTTTGATGAAGATATGGTTATAGTTGAACTAAAACAAGTAAGAGTTTGCTTCAACAAACCAATTTATGTAGGATTTAGTATATTAGATTTATCTAAAACTTATATCTACGACTTTCACTACAATTATGTGATAAAAAATTATGAAAAAGATTCAAAACTATTGTACACTGACACAGACAATTTAATTTACCAATTTAATGTACCCAACATCTATGAAGACATCAAACGTGATATCTCACGGTTTGATACCTCCGATTACCCGCCTAACAATGTCTTCAACATGCCTCTTGTCAATAAAAAGGTTCTGGGACTCATGAAGGACGAGAACAATGGAAAAATCATGTCCGAGTTCGTAGGTCTCAGAGCCAAATTGTATACCTTCGAAATTCATGATCCTGAGAAGGAAAAAGACAGGATAAAGAAACGGGCAAAGGGTATCAGAGGTTCAGCCTTGAAGACCATCACGTTTGATGACTTCAAAAAATGTCTTTTTGAAAATGTATTATTAAGAAAAGAGCAGTACATGATTAAAAGTAAAAAACATCAAGTACACACAATAAAGCAAGAGAAACTTGCTCTCAGTTGGGCTGACGACAAACGTCAACTCATTGAAGCAAGCACTGATACTGTGCCTTGGGGTTATAAAGACTCCTTAGATTTTAAAAAACGAAAACTTGTTGACGATAACGATGAAAATAATAATAATAAAAGACAAAAAAATTTGTAAAATTAAAAAACAATGTAAATATAGTTTTAAGGATTTATGTATTAAGGTTTTGTGAATAAAAACAATGTAAATATAATTTGTGTTTTACATATCAGATTTATTTATCTAACTATTATGTTTAGTATCAAAACCTAGCCATTTAACATAGTATTTATTTCCACGTTTTCTAATTACTTTTTCAACGAGATATACATCTGGATATTTGACTTTGCTGAGTTCTTCGTTGTAAAATCCGCCTTCGATTGGTTGATCCTGATAGTCCACGAGCTTGTACGTCGTTGGATTCGTATTCTGCACTGACTTGATTGTGAAGATTTCTGTTGTCCAGTTTGGTGTGTATCCTTTGTCAAAAACATGCTTGTACTTGCTGATTCGGACTTTATCTCCAACTTTGAACTTCTGCTTCTGCTTCAATTTGGTTTTCAGTGGTTGATATATATTTTCCAATAGTTGTTTCTCCTGAGCAGTGGTAACATCGACAGGTTTCATTTTGATGGTACTGTATATGGTGTTGTTGTAAGTATTCACCAAGTCATCAAGTATATCGGTCCACTTGTAGCTGCCACGAGCTGTAAACTCTCGCCACATTTTAGTCTTAAGTGTTCTATTGAAACGTTCACATATGGATGCTTTGAGATTGCTGAATTTTGAATACAGATTTATCTTGTGCTGCTTCATCAGATCTTTGAATTCTTTGTTGTAAAACTCTTTACCCTGATCAACATGGAGATTCTTAGGGATACGACCTTGCTGAAATACAGACTTCATAGCACTTGTGACATCTACACCACTTTTAGACTTAATTGGAACTGCCCAGGCGTACTTTGAAAATATATCTATGATTGTAAGCAGATACTTGTATCCTTTATTGACTGTTGCATATGGAATCATCTCAACCAAGTCAGCTTGCCAAGTCTCATCGAGACCTCGAATATCAACAAGACGACGTTTATAGTTTCTACGAGCTGGTTTGTGAAGCTCTTCAGCTATCACTGCCTTTTTGTCGTTCATTGAGTTTCACAGTGAGATATTTGATATTATTCTGGTGAGAGGAAAGTATTGCTTTAGCTTCCTCAGTAGCTGTCTGCAAATTTGTCACAGCAGCTTTCAATATTACTATTTCAGAGTGCAAATGTGAAATAATCTCTTTCTGTTCACTATTTATACTTTTATTCAAGTCAGACATCTGTCTCAGTACAAATTGCACTGTCGCCGCATCATGTTCATTTGAAGGATTACCGAGATTGCACAGCCTTTTATTCTCAATGTTATAGTTTCTATCAGAAGTTATATTGAAACCTCTACCAGCTGGACCTCGTTGAACCGATTTGTCATTGTCCAGAGGACGTTCAAATATATCGATACTCATAGTTCTTAACACTTTGACTGTCAGCGTGTGAATGGTGTTATTTTCTAGAAGCTTTTAATATATAACTCCAGCCTCCCTAAGCTCTTCAATAATTGACATGATTTCATTCGTGTGACTTGGATTTCCAGCAGCTTGAGATGCCATCAGTAGTCGCAAACGATCAACTAGCTCATTTGGATCATCCCAGTAAACATAATCCATTGGTAATCTCTGTTTTCTTGCAATCATATATTTTGGTAACCCTTTACCGAACTTAGTGAGAAAATCAGCAACGTATTTATTGTACTTTATTGTTATATCTTCATAAATGGAACGATTTGAATCATAATTTTTCCTATGAGTGTTGGTATGTTGAATTATATCCAAGTACTTATCCTTATCATCTGGGGTGATGAGTGCATCATCTGGCGATTTTCTAAATAATAATTCCAACAACCCAGGAGTTATTGGATAATTTTTACCTTTGATACTTATTGTATCATTTGCAAATGAAATAGGTGAATCACCCATATGCAATTCACCATGTTTTCTGCGTATACCATATCTCATATCATTATCTTTATGTTTTTTACTTAAACGTTGTAAATAATTGATGAGAGGAGGATTTTTACGAGCT